GTTCCAGTCTAAGGGAACTGCACCATTTGTAAATCAAAAACCTATCATCACTTGTTCCTAACGGTGCTTTTGGAGATGCCATCTGCATGGTGGTTTGGGGGACTAACCCCCCCACATTCAGCAGCCTTAGCAGGTGAGTGAACCCAGGTTGGGCACGTGAGACTACAGGTTGGCTTCCTGAAGTCAGGCCTTAGAGTCAGTGAGAGACAAAGAACTGCCAAGTCCCTAATCCCTCATGCTGTTTTCCTCTCTCTCTCTGCTCCATGCTCAAAGCTGTCCAGGCTGATCCTGATCCTACCACGATGCCTTGACATCCCCACAGTGAGGACAGAAACAGCACTTTGGCACTGCTCAGGAGTCTAAGGTGTGGGCAGAAGTCTCCGGACGTACCGGCGGCTGTGTTCAGCCTCATCTGGGGACGGTACTAATTGAAACCTCTGGATTGAACCCCATGAATGGCCATGGTCGGATACGAGTTCCCTGTTGGTCCCGGAAGTGTCCAGGACCTGGACCTCAGTGCTGAGGAATTACCAAAGACAGAAAGGAAGATGGTGCCGGTGGCTTCCAGCATGCAGCTCACTCTAGACTGTGCATCTGCATCAGGACAGCACCTGTGCAAGGCACTCACTGTGTGCTCTGCGCTGGCCCTTGGGGACCTGGCCACCACTGCAGGAACAGCCTGAGTTGACAGCAGGGAAGTGTGGATCAGCTCTGTGGCTCCCTCATGAATATGCAAAAAGGAATCTTGAGGTCCAGGGACAACACGGGCCAGGGGGCGGAAGGGGCCACTAGGAGGTAGGGCAGACTGCAGGTGAGGAGTCATGGCCTGACTGTCCAAGTCTCCTATCATGTATTTTGTTTTCTTTTATGAAATGCGCCTGCCTTGGACCTCTTGGAGGTTAAAGCACTAAAGGAATAAATTTATCCAGGTGCACCAGTGTGTGCCTGGAAACCATCACAGGCAGAGTCCAGGTGGTCGACAAGGCCAGGACCGCCATGGAGCTGGTCTAACTCAGAGACCTATGGGGTCAGCCTTCTCTAGCCTGCCTGGCCTGTGCAGGGGACTCCTGAGAGACAGCGCGTCAGGTGTCACTTGTTTCTGGTATTTGTTTGGGAGTGCTTGGTTTGTTTTTCAGATTTGCTACCCATGGCTTGGAGTTAAATTCTAGCTGAAATGTCACCTACACGGGGGTGGATAGAGCTGAGGCTGCCAAAGGTAGGTCAACTACTCCGGAGCCTGACGCCTCATAAAGGGATTTCATCCCTCAGTGCCCTGTGGCCACATCTGGGGCCCTATACACAGAAAACCGGTGGCTCCCTTCCTACCCAGCACGTGAGCTGTCTTGCTGCCACATCCAAAGCCCAGACAGTTCGCACACCTCTCACCCCGCTCCCATCTCCAAGGGTTCATGAAAGAATGAGAGGAATGGGAGGGCTCCAGACAAGACTGTTTGTAGCTCACAAGTACGTGGCTGATGGGCCAGATTCAGCTCATAGACATCTTTTTCTTTTGGCCGACAGAGTGTTTAAAAATTTTCACTATTGAGATGCCATTCATGGGACAATCTGGGCCAAGCCCTGCTGCTTTGTACCTTGTGTAGAGGGTGAATTTGAACTACCTGGCTGGCCTCAGATCTACGTTTTTCTGGGCCTATGGATAGCCCAGACTCTAGGCCAGGCGCCCCTGCCCATTGTCATAGTTCAACCCAAAGTAGAAAAGGCAGAGGAAACAGAAAGGAAATGGATGGCTCATGGCACTGATGCCTTATTCTCTGAGAGCCAGATTCACGTCTAGGCCCTGCCAGGAACCGTGGCATGGGTTTGGACACACTGTCCTATGAGCCTTAGGGTCCAGCTGGGAAAGACTCCACAGCAAGTGTTCATGTGAATTTAGGTAAAGACTGAAAGTTTCAGTGTTCACAGGACCAGCAAGGCTGCCAGTCCCCAGACCCTTCTAGTTACTTGGCCCGCTTCTGAGTGTCATCCTTTCTTTCCTCTTTGTAGGTCTGGGGACTACTGGAGCGCTGAGGGGTGGGTGTCTTCAAGCCATACACTCTATGATGGGGTCTCAACTCTGTGGGCAAAGGATGTGGCTCAGAGATCTGAGGATTCATCTCACCTGTGTCTTCAAAGTGAGCCCCGAATGTCAGTGTCTTTGCCTCATGGGATAGGGGAGCAATCCAAAACACAGTGTCGGCTGTGAAGGCATGACCTCTGAGCAGGTGCCTTAGTAAAGGGGAGGTGGGTTTCTATAGCATCACAACTTCTCAGGCTGGAGGGAGACAAATGGTCTCACAAAGTTCCAACAGAACTATGGGGGAGCAGGCCTGTGGAGGGACACCCAGGCCTCCTGCCACGGAGCCAGTGAAGCCCCAGACTGTGTTCTGGGTTCTCTGGCATTGTGCATCTGCGGTGTGAGAGTGCTGGCTGGAGAGGGCAGGTGTGCAAGTGTGAGAATGCACACACGCATCTGCTTCCCAGCAGCTGGCTAGAGCAGTGTTGTGTAAACAACCACGAGCCTCCGTGCTCTTGTGCTTCTACCTGGCATCCCAGGAACCACGGGGTTGTCTAATACAGACTCTAATGTGAGGACCAGCAGCACCTCAGGTGAGATAGGAAAGGTGGAGCTCCTTACAGGGGCAAGGCCAGGAGACAGGGGAGGGAGCCTCTGTGGATCGGGGTGGACTTTGCTGAGGAAGGAGGGCGTTTGCATGAAACAGCTGGCTGGGGGTGGGGGTGGGGTGCCCTCATGCCAGAAGCTTGAAACTGCGAGGAGGGCAGGGTGAACATCACTATAACAAGAGCAGTGGCAGGGGACAGAGAAACAGGAGTGCAGACGGAGCCTTCTCCTTCCTTAGCTGACAAGTGGAGGCTGGAGGCTGGTCACCCAGCTCCTGGCTGTGGGCTGTGGCTCTGGCTACCTTCCTTTGCCTAGCAAGTTCCACCAAGCCTGCTTCGAGTGCACAGGCTTTGCTCTGGCCTGGTGACAGGGATTCTTGGCAGTTCTACTAGTTTGGAGGCCTAATCTGGAGTACCGGGACAAGCAGCACCTCTTGCCATCTTCACTGACACCTTCTCTCCCAGGGAGAGGTAGAGGTGACAGGGATCACCATGTGTTAGAAGTCTGGGGGACTAAGTCCCACACCCCTACCTCTGCCAGTCAGGGCTTGGGGACTCCACTTTACTGAACTTCGGTTTCTTCCTTTGCCCCACTATGGGGGTATTGAGGCACAGAACACATGGGGAGGAGGTCTGTTTGGTCTCCCTGTCTGGTTCTGGGCTTCCATAAGCTGGGCCTCGGTTCTCCTTAGGGGACTAAACCAGGTCTTTTTGAAAGCTCCTCTGTTTCTCATTCTTGTGAGAATGAGATTGGAACATTGATTGGAACATTGGCAAGACCTCACATACTTCTTCAAAAGTGAGGCCCTGACGCAGGTGACCCTGTCACTGCCACTGCTCCCTGGGAGGAAGGGAGGAAGGGACAATAGTGAGATAAGTCTGTTCTTAGTCCAGCAGAGGATCAGAGAGGTAAAGGGTCTGAGGCCCCACAGTTCAGCTACAGCAGGCCCTAGGCACACTGTCACGTGAAACGGTCAAGTTCCCTGTCATGGTTATAATTCAGCCTTAGTTTAGACAGGGGTTCTTCTCTGCCATTCTGAGTTGGCAAGAGGGACCATTCAGAGAATAGAGGTTTCAGATGAGAAATTGTGTCACCGGGCACCCCAGACTCAGACCCACCTCCAAGTCACCCATGCCTCATTGCTTGTCCTGCTCCTCCCCTAGCCTGGCCTCTGCCTCCCACACATTCCTCTGCCTTTCCCACAGTGACCTCCACCTCGGCCCCTTGGAGCAACAGGTTGACCTGTTTGGTGTAAGTCAGGCACCTGCCACCATCCCCAGCACCTCCACACCTAGACACACGCCATGCTCCGCCAGGGGTGGGTGGGGCTGTGTGTGAGGAAGCTCGGGTCCTGACGCCTGCAGGATGTGCTGGCCCTCAGTGCAGGGACAAGTCCTTTCTGTTAGCCATTGTCTCTGTGTCTGGGACAGGCTTGCCCAGAATCCAGTTGTTGCAGTCCCAGAGGACAGTCGTTGAGTGAAGTGTCCATGGCTGATGTCCAAAGTGACTTGAGCCTGGGCATGCCTCAGAAAACATATTCAGTTTGGTGGTTCTAGGGGCCAGGGGGATCCGGGGGAGCTGTCCCTGGCCTGGGTCAGATGATCTTCTGATCATGCAGAGTCACAATGCCATCAGCACTTGGATAACCTCTTACTGTAGAACAGCAGCTGAGGAACGTCCCAGACAGTCTCTTGAAGGTCCTTGATTAAGAAAAAAAGGACTGTCGACGCTGTGGTAGCTCCACAGAAACGGAGGCAAGAAGCCAGGGTGTCTCCCTGAAGTGTATCCCTCTTGGGGGAAACCTCAGGGGAAAATTGCACCATGACCACCGGCGGGCCCTCTAGACATTAGAGAAGCAGGGTGAGCCAGAGGACAGGCATCCTCATGCAGGCACCGTCAGTTTCAAAGACAGCTTTGAGATACTTGCTTGACAGGGCACTAGGGCAGAGAGGACACTCTGTGCACAGGTGGAAGCTGTCCTGTGATGCATTGTGGGTAGGCTGATCTGCTCCATTAGACCCTCAGGCCCATAGAGAAGCAAGAAAGTATTTACACGGGCGCTGTGGAGCAACAAGGCCTGCCATGGCTGAACCGCACAGATGGTCAGACAGTCAGGCATCTGAGGCAGGCAGGGCCTGGCTGCGGTGGTCTTCAGAACAGCGGAGGCCCTGCCGCCGCTGGGAGAAGCTGACTCTTGAAATGGACAAGCACTGAGTAGTCCAACAGCCCTACCTGGATCCCAGGCCGAAAAAAAAAGGAGGGAGGGGGCTTCAAGTGTGTGCGGGAGGGGTGGGAGACGCAGGCGTCGGACCCCTCTGTCTGTCTTGGGGGTTGGGAGGCTGCCTCCCTCAATGCAAGTGCTCCCAAGTGGCTCTGAGGGTCAGTGACGGTCATAGGCGGTGGCTGCGGCAGGTGGGGCGGCTCCCCGGGCTGCGGCGCTGTAATAGTATGGGGAGCCTGGAAGACACAAGAGGGCACGGGGGGTCAAACCTAGAGTCCCCCATCCACCAGTTTCCCCACCTCTGTCTCAGGCACTGTCCATACTCCCTAAGACCTCTGTCCTCATCTTTTCCCTGAACTGCGAGTCTAATCAGAGCCACCTAGACCTGCGTGCAGACTGAGGCACATGGGTTTTATCCTGGCTGCTGCACGTGGCCTCCCTTCCTTCTGCGTGGCTTCTGTCTGCTTCCATGTTATTGAGAAGAACTGAGTAGGTGCCCCTGGGGACCACAAAGCCTAAATTATTCAGGACCTTGTGTGTAAGAGTGTTTGAGGTCTTACCTACAAGAGTGACGTCTTCAGGTTTTCGTCTGATTGACAAGTACCCCGTGGTCAGACTTTGGCCAGCCTCTCTGGGCTCACTGACCATACTCCCCACTACTCCCAGCCGTACTCCACACCATGCCCAAATTTTGTGCATGAGTCATCTTTACATGGGTCATCTCATTCAAATGTAGGGGGCAGGGCCAGTGACCCCATTTATCCGACTCAGGACTCTTGCCTGGAGTTTCTGGCCTGTGCCCATTTCCTGTCTAGGCCTTTTTCGAGTCCAGGGCCCTGCTCTCCTCCTCTGGGAAGACTCTCTTCTGAGCTTATTTTCCTTCACAGGTTGAGCCATGTGGTATAATCACCTCTCTCCTCTGTGCACCCCCCCCCCATCTCAGGACGGAGAAGATAAATAGGCAGGGGCTGGGCTCTGGCCTTGTCATTTGCCCCCAGTTTCCAGCTAAAGGGAATCTGACCCAGGCATGTTAGCTGACATGTATAATCCATGGCTTGGAAGCCTGAGGCAAGAAGATTGCCAAGAGCTGGAGGCCAGCCTACATAATGAGATCCTGTCTTGGGGGAAAAAAATTAAAAGAAGTTTGTGCTCTGAGAAGCTGGGCTTTTAGAAAACCTCTGATGACCACTGACGGAAAGTGAGATTGGTCTGGGCTGGGGCATGGACATTGAGATAAAGCTTCTTCCTGTGACCTCAGGACAGAGCGGTCCCTGGGTTCCTCTCATGCCTCTGGACTGTTTTCTGCTTTTGGGTACATTCTCTGCAGTAGCTACCAAAAGTCCTGCCTATGCTAAAACTATTCCTCAGGGACTTGAGGAGCTGGGGGGTCTAAGGGGCCGGGCTGGATTCTCAGAACCACAGAGGTTACAGCCTCAAATCTTTCACAGTGAAGAGACGGGTGTTCAGCAAAATAAAAACCGGTTCACATCACAAAACCCCTCAGTGCTGGAGCCTGGCCCTGAACCCAAGATGTACCCTTGGTGAGGGGTTCATCTACCACAAAACAGTTCAAAGCCCGTACTGGAGGGACAGGCTCATTGCAGACAGAAGTTGGGGCTCTAGAGCCAGTCTTGTTAGGGTGGGCCTAGTGAGCCTAATTCCCAGATGAATCAGCTGGGATTTGTTCTGGAGTCTCACTCAAATTCAAACTGACCCTGACGGTTCTCCCAGATACCTAACTAGGGGTTGAGCTGTGGGGTTTTCTTCACAGGTCCAACCACGTCTCGGTGAAAGGCAAGTAACTTTGCTCCCACGGACCTCAGTTGTTTTCATCTTTAAAAGGGTGCCAAGCGTGAGGGCGCTGTGGAAGTGGTCCCTCTCATCTGAGGACTTACATCCGTTAACTCTTGCCAGATATGAACTCTTATCGCGCCTGTTTTATGAACGAGGAGGCTTGGCCAAATCCATGCCTCCCGTGCAGTAGCATTGGAGGGCGCTTTAGCGTTGGACTCCCTTCTACACTCAGCCTCCTGGGCTGGTCCACTCTTGTCCGGGACCCAGGAAGTGATAATGAGGTACCTCTGCTTGCTGCTCCACAAGGCAAGCATCCCACACCGAAGACTCCCCAAAGACAGTCACCTGCTGCTTTCAAGGTCACCTCTCCACTCCAGCCCTGACTCAGGAATCTGTCTGCCTCTTTCCTCTGTGGGGTGAAGGTGGGGTTCATTCCCTGCAGCTCTGGGAATTACACAAGGATGTGAAAACCCTAGGGGCTGCCAAGGGCCCACAAGGGGCAAGAAGTAGAGGAAAAGGCTCCAGAAGCCCCATGGTGAGATTTCCAACTCCTTTTCACAGCTCTGTCCACCCCACAGGGCTTAGCCAGCCCGGGTGGCGGCCTTGGCTGAGGATTTGATTTACCACAGAAAATGAAAACATCAGTTCTCAAAGCACTCTGTCTTCCTGGTGCCCATTAGCCCTCCATCTAGAATAAACTTGTCCTTCCTTCTGTCATTTTTCCTCTCTAATTCACATTATCATCAATTTACCTCTTGACACCGTCATTCCAGGCTGGCTCAGGGCTGGTTCCCTCTCTAATCCCTTTACAGCGACCACCCCTATTCTAATCCTGATTGACCATGGCCAGCTTTTCTGCTGCCAGCTCTGCTACCCCCTCATTAGCCTGGGGGACCCCACAGGACGGGGTGCTGGGGACAGCACTGTTGGACTCATTCTGACTGTGCTGGTAAACGAGGCTTCACTAGGCCAGCAAGGGTACATGAGGGGCCTGTGCAAGGCTACCTCTGTGTGGGAAGAGTGAGCTGTGGATATGCCTTCGGGCTCACCTGAGCCTGAGGAAACACAGGACAGGCTACCACATTCCTGTCCTTCTTCATCCCAAATCAGAGAAATCATCAGACTGGGTCTTTCTAGACTGAACCCTTGGGATTTGTTTGGCCAAACCGCCGAGAAGTCTATGGCAGGGCCTGCACGATGGGAGCAGGGTGCGTAATGGGAGCCGGCTGGAGCTGTTTGCAAGGCTGTGCTCAGGTGGGCCACGTGTCTTCATCAACATACAAGCAGGGTCCTTACGGATTCAGAGCCCACACCTCAAGAGCTTCCTGTTAAGAGCCTGTGTGAGAGGCTGCCGTGGTAACCGGCCTCATTTTACCCTGGACCGACTAAGGTCTAGGCTGGTGGATGGCCTGGGTGGACCCAGGTTATGGACGTGAGCCATTTCTCATGCTTCATAGTCCTCTTGTGTTGGCACTTCTCCTGTGGCATGGACCAGCCTCTGACTCGTCTTCCCAGCTTCCCTTGCTGCTGGGGCTTTGGACATAGGTGGGGAAAGAAGCAACTTGAGGAAATGGTTTGGGGGATTCCATTCACTAGGAACAGGTGCCAAAGGCCTCTGTGTCTGAATGGTGGCTGGGAACATGCTGTCAAGCACCTAGGGAAAGCTGAATGGTGGCATAACTGGTGGGTGGCAGCCAGCAGCAATGGGATAGTTACAGCAGTGCAGCCCTGCAGGGCGACTGGCTATGTTCCTAGTCTGTGCCCCATGCCACCTACTGACCCTGCCTGGGCTTTCTGGGAACCTCTGATGTTCTTTACTAAATATGTTTCTGCTTAAATTAGTCAGACTGGATTTTGTTGTTAGCACTCTTAAGCCTGCTGACCTCATCACTCACAAGACTTGAGTGCTTCAGGCTCTCACCTGTTTCCAAAGGGGCACAAGCTCCTCTCCCTGTTCAGACTGAATTGGTTAGGGAGCTTGAGAGAACCCCATGACACACTGCCTAAAGACACAGGCTCTGGGTGACCTGGGGTGAATGAGTCTGCCCTTCTGAGCCTCCCTTCTCTGTACCTCAGAGATGCTAGGATGGCACCCTCACAGAGAGCTTTTGAAAGGATAACATGAGATGACCCTCGGGGAGCGTTCTCCTGTCTGGTACGATACGACTAGTAAATTCTCACGTAGATAGGCAGTTTTGATTCTGCTTCCTCCTCCCTACCCTCTCTCTAGGCCTCCTGAAAGCCTACCTAGCACAGGTACACTGAGGCTCCCTTACCCCCAGCCTGTGAGATCAGAGGACAGAGCCTGACATTATGGGCTGTAACTGACCAGCTTTTCCTCAGGCTTGAGCAGGAGAGCTTCAGTTCCCCACCCCCATCCCAGTGGACACATCACTACCATGCAATCAGTTCCAAAGTTCACCCCTGGGAGGTTCCCTACTGCAGTGCCCTTTGAATCCCCAGAAGTGAGTGTCACTGCTAATCTCTGGGATGCTTTGTGACTTCTCTCAGCAGGGCTTTGCATCACCCATGGGCTGGATTTCTGGCCTTCTTATGCTGCCTTGGCCATGAAGTCACATAGAAAAGCCCTGAATCAGTGTGACCTCAAAAAGAGCCATTCCCACAGGCCCAAGCCTTCCTTTGAGCCATATTCCCTGTGGCTCTCCTTGTAGTACTAGGACCAGAGCTCAGTTGGAGGGAGACTGGGAGATTTCCAGGAGAAACTCCTGGGCTTGGGCTACACACTTACGACCTCTCCACTATACCCGCAGGAAAGCATGGTCATTCTCATGTCAAGGGGAGACAGCAGCTGAAACACTTGCTCAATGCCTAAAATGATTTTGACCAATCAAAAGAGAAGACACTGACCCACAGACTTAAGTCCTCTGGGAAACCAGAGCTAACCAGATTTCAGAGTCTTCTGTAAGGCAGGCTGGAGCTCTCCCTCACACAGGGATGTGGAATCCTAGTTGGCATGTCCCATATTACAGTTACAGTTGTCACGACACACCAAGATGCTTGGGGTAGCCCGGGATCTCAAGAGCATATCCCATATGCAGCTCCAGTGAGAGGTGTGGCATCCATGCCACATGTCCGTCTTAATTAAAGCCAGATTGGGGAGGGAATCAAGGCCTGGGGTTTGGCGACTTGAATGTGCAGACATCAGGTTACCACTTTTCTGACAAAGTGCGAGGTTCTTGGTCCTAAACTAATTAAGGATTTGAGGAATCAGCGAGCGCTCACTGAACGAGGCCTTGCTAATGCAGACAGACAGGCTGGAGAAGTCTCAAAGGCTCCTCCACTCTCCCTTCACTGCTCGAAGTAGAGCATCCTTGGCTGACTGTAGAGAGTATTGTAACCTGCAAGCTGCTTGGCTGGTTCCACATGGAATGTGGTGATGATGCCTGCATCCAGGGCCCCTGTTTTAAGTCACTGCAGCTTTGGCGGGCCCTCATTGGATAGCTTCATGTAGATCAACAAAATAAAGGACTCTTCTAGATCCTTGGAGGTCAGTTAGGTCTGCTGTGTGTGTGTGAAAATATACTGATGATATTCATAGACCAGGCTGGCTCCAGCCATGGACGTTCTGTGAACTTCAGATAGAAGTTAGGCACCAGCTGAGCCCTAATCAGCATACCTTGGCAAGCCACAGGGCATCTGGTTCCTAATGGAGCTGGCACCAATGATGCCCATAGCAGACGTCATTAATCAATCAGTGGGCCTCAGAGCCCTTAGCAAGACAGTTTTCCAGGGAGCCAGCACCAATCAATGCAAGTTTGTATTTTCATTGCTTCTTGTTTATGAAATTTTCACTGTATTTAGTGGTTCTTAAGAAATGAGTTACTCACAGGCAAGCACTTTTCCTACCTTCTTTTCTCCCTCACATTTCCACCCCCATGAGCTGCAGCCGCATTAACGGCACTGTGACCACCATAAAAGGTCCTGTATTTCACACACATGGGGAAAGATATGACCCGGTCCTAAGAGGGAGCAAGGCTCAATGAGGCAGCCAAATAGGGCAGCCAAGGACCAACGGACCACACAAATAAGTACTCACCAAGCAGCCCTGGGTTGGGAAACCTCCAGGAATCGTTGTAGGAGGAATACTGAGGGTGGCTGTAGGGACTCCCGGAAAATTCACTCCCTGCGGGAGGTGGGCAGGGGGAGAGAGAGAGAGAGAGAGAGAGAGAGAGAGAGAGAGAGGGCAAACGTTAAATCAGGTGCAGAAAAGGCTGTGGGTTCGAGTCAGCCTACATACTGAATATTGCTGGCGCTTAACTCTCCCATGGTGACCAAGCACAGCATATCGGGGCTATGCTCCCGCACAGTGAGCTGTCTATTTCACCCCAAAGCACTTTGTATCAATTGGATTGGAAGCCACAGAGCCAGCATGTGCAGGGTGGGGTCTCACTTGGTACTCCTGCCTGAGTCCAGCCCTAGCCTGCTGCGTCGTTGGCACTGGCTGAGGCTCCTAAGGGACTCTGGTGGGTTGGTTCCATTTCCCATGCCCTCAGCTCTAGTGTGGACCCTCAGCACTATGAATTCAGGGGGACTGTGCCAGGGGCAGCCAGCTGGGCAAGGACAGACATGAGACACAAGGCTACCCCATGTGTCTGGAGAACGCAGACAGCACCCTGCTGACATGAAGGGACAGGCTAAATGCTGATGAAACAAAAAAGGGGGGTCTTCTAGGCAGTGGAGAGAAGGCAGCTGTTGATGGTGGTGGATGCACTCAGGCAGGCCCTGGGAGGTGAGCGTGGGAGAAGGGAGGGTAGGCTGGGCCCAGAGGACAGGTCACTCACACCCACAGCCTGAAGAGCTGGCCACTCACCCCCGGCTGTTCCTGGGGTTCCCAGGGGATTCTCTTCTGCCCTTCTGCCGTCTAGGCCAGCTTCACACTCTGTCCCCTTATGCTTGTACTAGTAGACTCTGCCCATTTCTTTCCCCATCCTCCCCAGAGCTGGGGCCCCAGAGGGCAGGCTGGGTTCTCCACCCTCCACACTGAGTGTGCGAGAGCCTGCTATGCCTAGCAGAGGCGTTGCAGCAGGGCATGCACGGAAAGCCAGTGGAACATTGAACGGTTTTCTTAAGCCCCCAGGTAAGGCCCTGCCCTGTTGGAGATGACAGGAGTTACACGGTCCTGGGAGACTACCTGCGGCCAAGCATGACTCCATGATCCCCCTAAAGGGAACGTACAAAGGCCAAAGGGCAAAAGGCTTTGGAAGAAACCAGGAAGAAACCAGTCTTCCTCCCACCTCTTAGGTAAGCACAGGCAGAACATTTGAGCGCGCGCGCGCGCGCGCGCACACACACACACACACACACACACACACACACACACACACACATACACTCCTGCTCAGGCCTCTCTGGGGGCCACTCCCAGCCTGACAGGCTGAGCCTTCCAATTCTCTGTTTTTTATGCCTCAGTGGTCAGGGTGTCAGGTTCCGGCATACAGAGGGAGAGCGTGGTGACAGTGCTGGCTGCATAGCCTGGGCATATCCATCAGCGCTACAGTGCCTCCCCCCTCCTGCGCTCTTCCTCCTCCCCCCACCGCACTCTTCCTCCTCCTCCTCTTTGGGAAGCAGGTTAGGGGGAGGTGGAGATACAGCAGTCTGGAGTAGGGCGACAGCATTCTTGCAAGGCTCTTGGAGGCACATCCGTGCCTGGCCTATCCCTTATTAGCACCATTGTTCCTACTGCCAGGCCATCTCTTCCAGGAAGCCTCTCTGAGTTCCTCTGGGTTCTGGGCCAGCCTTAGGGCCACTCGGCTGGAGTGAACTGGCACGGACCCATGGAGGCCTGCGAAGGCTCATAAGCAGCTTGCAAACCCTCTAGGTTCCAGAGACTGGATGGCGCCAAAGTGAGCACCGCCAAGGTCTCATTGGCCTTGCCTGGGGTGGAGTGCCCACACAGGGGAGCATCTGGCCCTGCAGGTCTGTGCCCTGGTCGCTCCTAAACATATACCTGGTTTCCTGCAGACAATGGTGTCCAATAGGTCATTGGTATTCCCATGTCACAGAGTCTCCTACCCCCTTCCTGGGCTCCGGCCAAGAGAGGCCCTCTCTGGGATGCTTCCCCTGACTAGCTCATCCTTCTGTCCTGCCATGGTTTGTTCCACAGAGCTTATCACTTTCCAACCTGTCTTGTTCATCATGCTCATCTTGTTAATTATCTGTCTCTTCCACTAGGCTGAAAACTCCTTGGGGGACAGAGTTTTGCCTGTTTATGTCTGGATCCCAAGCTTCAGCACCAGGCTTGGCATCCATCTAGCGTGCATGGATGACTAATTGTGAGTGAGTGAAGAGAGAGATAAATGAATGAGTGAATGAATGAATGAATGAATGAATGAACGAACGAACGGAACTCCTAGGTCAGCCAGGGCCACGTTACTAAGTGGACTGAGTGGACCTCTAACTTGGATAAAGGCTACCACTACTTCCGTTATCCGCTCCTATGGCCAGGGATATGCTGTGGCATCTACTGTGGCTGAGATTTAAAGCAACGTCTGATTCGCTGTCCACCACAACATCCTGTGCCCAGGAGGAAACAAACCTATCAGGAACCCCACCTGATGCTCTCAGAGTCATGGTGAGGGGGGCTCCCGAGTCCTTGTCCGGTGGTGTGCCCTGTTAGAGCAGTACACCCTTGGTAGGGGGACCTTGGTCATCTCAGGGACATAGGCTGACCCAGGGGCTGCCCAGCCACCTGCTGGGGACTCCGCAATGGTGCCTGATTATCTGAAGTGCTATATAGTAAGCCAGTCATGGACAGAGTACAGAAGCCAGGATCTCACTGCCAGTGGGGCTATCCACAGACCTGGTCCACACAGTACCAAAGCTGGTTAGGGAACACCAGACTGACCAGGCATATGCCACAGTCTTTGATCAATTTGGCTCAGGGGCAAGGATGTGGAGCCATGCTTCATGGAACTCCCAAAGGTTTCAACTCCTCTGTGCCTCAGTTTCCTTCTCTGTAAAGTTGGGGCCATCGCAAAGCTCACGCGGTGCTGTAGAGGGTTCAGAGAAGGGGCAATACATCTGCTATGGTGAATGTTTCCCCATCAGTCACCAAGACTTCCTCGGCATCCAGAGTCAAACGAAACCTCCCAGCGACACCGTGACGCTCACAAGATTAATGAAATGGCATTTCAGTTGTGAAACGTTCTCTCAGGCCAGAACACAGCTCCAAGGCCAGGTTCCTGTCCCCCGGCCCTGGACTTGCTTGTCTTTAAAACATCTGCCTGTTTCTCATCTGTCAAAGGACAGAGCAGTAGCCTAGTGGTTCTCAGCCTTCCTAATGCTGTGTCTCTTTAAAACAGTTCCTCGTATAGTGGTGACCCCCAACCACAGAATCACTTTGTTGCTACGTCATAACTGTAATGTTGAACCCTAATGTAAACATCTGATATGTGATGCTGTGGGGTCTCGACCACTGCTATAGCTCCTCACTCCTCAGCTGTGACTAATGCCTTTCCTCTGGGGGAGGCCTGAGGCTCCCACCTCCTCAACACCACTCTCTCACACTGAGGGGCACCTTGTTTTTTGCAGGAACCTCACAAAAGCAGCTTGGAAAGGCAAGGTATGTTTAACCTTCTAGGTCCACTGAGCCCAGCACCAGAGGGAGGCGGGGGGGGGGCAGGGAGGCCCTGGGTCAAGCTGAAAGCTGGAGATGGGGCTTGAGGTCAGTCAGCGTGATGGTGACTTGTGATGGTGAGACCTCTGAGAAGCTCCGCCAGAGGCAGCTGCAGAGCAGGGTACATAAGGGTTGGGAGGGGAGGGTTTTAGCTGGCACTAGGATCCATTTGAGGCTGCAGGGGGAGGGAAGGGGTGAGGTCAAGGGAGAGCTTCCAGTTGGCTGCTGCCGTGGCAGAAGCAACTGTTCATCTACATGTATAAAATCTTCCTCGAGAGCAGGCTCTCAGGAGTAGGAAATCAAAGCGCCTGGTTCTAGCTTTTGTTGGGGTTTCCAGAGGTGAGGCCAACAGGCCCAAGGTCAAAGGGCACACAACAAAACACCTTCCCTTGTGAGTTTGCCCAGTGAAAAAGACCCCACCCTGGCCTCTTTCTACTGATTCATACTCTGGGCACATCTCAAAACTGTGAACCCCTTAAATCAGAGCTTCTATTTCTTATTAACAAGAAGGGTCTGTAAGGCCCAAGTTGGGGTTAGCTGTGTCCAGATAGCTGTCATTCAGTAGGCAGTGGGACCCCCGTCCAAGAGGCACAGAGCATACTGGCTTTCCCTCAAGGTAGGTATGGGTGCTGCCCAGAGTTGGACACATGGAAACACCTAAGAACTCTCCAACAGCAAACCAGTGCCATGGTCTTCTCCATTCTGGCCAGTGGAGTGGTCCCATGAAGGGCAAGTGTGTGGACAAAGGCCTGCAGTGAGCATGCAAGCCAGCTTGTATGGTGCCATGTGAGTTCAAGTGAGGGCTCAGGCCGCAGCACCCAAGGCTGACTGAGAGCTTACACTTCTAATTTTTAATGGCTGTGTGGCCTTGGGCAAGTGACTGAACCTCTCTGAGCATGCTCCTCATCTTCAATACGGACTAAAGAAATCACTGTTTACCATTTGAATGTCCTCCCACAAAAAGTCAAATTGATGTTCATTTCCATTAAGAAGCGCTCAGAGGGTGGAAGTAGCCAGGCAGTGGTGACACACGTCTTTAATCCCAGCACTTGGGAGGCAGAGGCAGGCGGATCTCTGTGATTTCAAGGCCAGCCTGGTCTACACAGAGTTGTAGGATAGTCAGGGCTACACTGAGAAACCCTGTCTCAAAAACAAAACAAAACAAAACAAGAAGAAACAGTGGAAGCTTGAACAGACTATTATCTTTGTAGGCAGGGCTTTGGGGGAAGTGACTAAAGATACCCCACCATGGGGGAGGGGCACTAACACCATGGGAACTGTGGCTTTACAAGCAGAGAGCTGAACTGTGTTCTGTGGTTATGTGAGGTCCTGAATCCGTCTGGACTCAGCAGGGTCCCCCCTAGCAAGAAGAGCTTCAGCAGATAGAGCTGCCCAGCTGAACTTCACAGTTCTCAGAGCTGTGAGTGAGTCAGCCCTCACTTTCTATAAACTGTGGTCTGTGGCATTCGGTTACAGCAGCAGGAAATGGACCAAGGCAAGTGTCTACA